ATTTTAGTTTCCAACATGGACGTTTCTTAGTAGGTTCGATATCATGATAAATTTACAGCATAATGCAATTTTTGGATTTCAATATTTATAGAATATCTTAAAAATTTTAAAAGCCTTTTAAGGACCCTCTATACACTAAAGGAAACATTTTTTTGGACGTTTAGAAAATACATGTACATGTATCAGTGTGTAAAGGTGAAAATATTGAACTTAACTCTTACGTTTTCAACAAAGGGTACTTTGCATTTACACCCAGGAAAAATATTTTAAGTAGGGATGGCAACGAATATTCGAACATTCGAATATTCATTCGATGAGTTGATATTCGAATATGAATTTAAGATTCGAATATTCGGTGTTTTTCAGATTTCATAAAAAGAAGTACTGTGATTAATAAATTTTGATTAGAACAGTGCTGGAATTATCCCTGTTTAATTTACTAGCGATCAATTTCGATCGCCTGATTTCTTTCACTACTTTCTTATCTTATAAATCTTCTAAATTGCATGTATTTTGTTTTGAGTAAGGTGTTGTAAAGAATTGTACAATAATGCTTTATATATAATACAAAACGTGCTTTCATAGCTTTTATTAGTTAAAGATACGATCGGATCTAGAATCGAGGACAACAAATGAAATCTAAGAATATCTAAAAGGCGCGAAGAGTATACTTATCAAAATAAAATTAATTGATCATTGAATGAATGTCCGATAGAATTAATCTGTAATTAATATTGTCAAGGGCTTAATTTCAGAATAAATGTGTAAATTACTTGATTATCTCGGGTTGTGCATAATTTATATTCATTATCGGGAAAACAGTTAATTACCTAGGAGAATTGTCTATGGAAATATTTGTTTACATTGTATCAAAGATTATAATCATATCTCTTATCAGGCAGATAATTGTAATTTATTACACGTATTGAAATCTGAACAGTATACCGTTACGGCTATCTTAATTGCCTTTTGTGAGACGACTGGTTCCTCAGGTGGGGCTACTATAAATACACATTTCATTTGTTAAAATTATACTTTTCTACATTTAAATCTATTATTTATTTCAAACATTGACAAATATCAAATGGAATTTCTTATTTTACACCTAAAAAAGTCTTCATACAATTTTACTTCCTATATAAGTATACCTACGAGAGTAGGATGATGCATATTTAAAATAAAACAGATTTTATTTATTTTATCGAATATTTGAATATATTCGAATACTTTCATTGAATATTCGAATATGAATTATTGACAAAATTGACATCCCTAATTTTAAGACAATGAAAAACTGATGAACAGAAATCACGGTTGTTTAAGTGCGCAAAATACATGCAAATGAAATGTTCAATCTATTCGTCTTTACCTGTTAAAATGTTATGAATGCTGGAGTTTATTACAAATTAAGTAATACACTGTACATTTCAATTTATTTTATTCTAGATAAAAGAGCAGATAATTTGCATAAAAATACCACAAAATCAGAATTCTTTTGTGTGTAGTGTATAGATTGAGGGCTCTTAAAAAGCATTAAATAAGACACATCTATATATCACTGCAATCTCCTTAACATTACAACTTTTGGAATATTTCTTTGGATTAAAAAGTATATTCATCTTCAAAATTGAATGTATTAAGAGTGCTAAATCAACTCATTGCTAGCATATTTTTCTGAATCTTCTATTAAAAAGAAGGAATGAAATTCAATTAAATTTTAAAATTTATCAAGCATTTTTTTTTTAATTAGAGCCAGACCAATTCCATAACAACAAGATCCAAAACAAAAATCCTACCTTGAACCCTTTTACTTTCTGACAACAAATATACGTCTCAGAATTCGAAACAAACACATTTCCTCTACCTCAGAACTTTTCAAAAAGTTTTGAAATTTAGTGCCACACATCAAAGAGTTCGGTATTTGGTCAATACTGACGATTGTTTGAAAAGCAGCTCCGGGCAACAATGGGGAACGTTCAGTGGACAAATGGTGTGAAAAATCACAATTAAACACTCATAAAGTTAATTTGTACTTCAGGTCCATTTGTACAGGGAAAAAGTTGAATCATAAAGTGATTAAAAGCACTTTATAAATGTCCCCACTAAAAACAGTTTAATAACACCATACTGGTTCCATGTTCATGTTGTTTTTTAAGGAGTGTCAATTACAAAAGGCAATTTACGAAAAGCAGTAGTCTTAGATGTATTCCTGATTTGCTAATTCAAAAATGAAATAAAAATTGTTAAAACTTTCAAGACCTTGTGTGAAATTGAACTCCCCCTTTTAATCAGCCTAATTAAACATAAATAATGAAGTTAATCACCCGTGAATATGGGGCTCAAAGTGAAAGTCAATTGATTTATTCAAACACCAGAATTTGAAATCTGTCACTTTTTTAACTGGGAGTCATTGGACATCAAATTTTGAACCATACTTTGAGGTAAGGTGACAGTTTAATTACTCTGAAACGATAATTATGTAAAATTGTTTTCAATACCCTTATATAATTTCTACAACACTGGCAAATTTCGGTGTTTGATATATATCTTAATCTTTGTTAATCTGTCTGCAATCTATTTCTCGACTACTTGACATTCTTACAAATTATTCTTGTTAATCTGAATAATCCCTTTTTTTATCTGAATACATGTATATCTTAAATCACTAAACAAGAATTAATTTACTTTCTAAAAGTGCATTAACTGTAAATTCTGAGGGTTAATCCTGTACAAAAGTGCACTGGATAAATTTTGCATGCAAATACCATTGGTGATCAATATCTAACCAAAATGGACAGGTTTTTGCAATTAATATACAGTCAAACCTCGTTATCTCGAACCCGATGGGACAGAGAAAATATTTCGAGATATCCGAGGATTCAAGATATCCAGGGTAAAATACTTAAAGAATAAGCAGTTGGGACTTCCAAATCACTTTGACATACATGTATCCATGATATTCGAGATATCGGTGTTTGAGATACCGAAGTTCAACTGTACTGTGAAATCACAAATTTTTGTGGGGGTTTAATTTTCATTGCTTTTGGGTTAAAAGAGATCCAGGAAGTCATGTCCTCCACAAATAGATAAAATTGTAATCAAGACAACTAGACATTTCTTCAGCCATGAAATCTGATTCCCACAAACCAATATCTTTTTTCCTCAAACCAAGAAAATCTGACCCCATGAAAATGTGAATTCACGGTATGTAGTGCTTTGGGCTGTATGGATCATGAGTATCTGCCAGGGTAGCTGGATGGTTAGTACATCTTACTATAGTAATGCAAAGGTTCTGGGTTTGATTCCCATTATGGCCATCAATTTTCTCCTTTCTGGTTAGTAGAAATTATTGAGAATTCTCTAAACTGATCGTGAAAAATGTGCCTAAAATCAATAGCTTTGTGTGTATATGCATTCTTGAGAATGCATGTAAAACAATTCAGTTAGATGCATGATATTACTAATAACTATATCAGTAATGTCAATAAAAAACCAACTTCAAAATTTACAAAATGCTTCCTTAACACCCCTAATTTCTCTCCGTCTCTTCAAGTTGACTATCCAAACCTTTTTTTAAGGTAAATCTACATACATACTTTAGAATTATAACACTGCAGAAAGTTCAAGAAACCATTCAATAAGTCATTTAAATCTTATTGCCCAATGACAACCCCCCCCCCCCTTTTCATGTTGGTAATCATTCAACATCTTACCTTTCAGAGCAGACATGATTCAGAATTATCAACAAATCCCACTCTATAACAGCAACTTTCCACAATTTCAAAAAATATACTTTTCAAAACACTTAAAACTGCTATTGCATTGAATCTCTCATTTTGCCCACGACTAAATTTCTTCATTTCTTTGTCTCTAAGGCTAAACATAGGAAATAATAAGATGATTATCTCCCTTTTTTAAGCTGAAATTGATAAAAGATTTTATCTGGTAATGATTTATTTACAACTTAAGTCCCTCCCATTTTTCAATCAACATCACCCCCTGACCAAAGGCACCACTAAACTCACCTCTCAGAGCAGAATGCATTGCTGACATCGTGTCTAAATGTTAATCATCAACACTATTAATGGCTATTTAACTAGTTTCACTAAAATGTCCAGAAAATGAAGAAAAAAATTAAGCAAAAAAAAAAATTTACTACGTTAAACTGTTTTGTCAAAAATTGATTCTTTCATTCGTCTCCAAGCTAAACTGATTGTTATCATCACCAAGTCATTTAAAGACAATACAGAGTTATCTCCCTTAAAGATCAGATTAATTAAAACCCCCTTAGCATACAGCCTGGATACCCAATCAGATAAAACATTATATATATCTATCAGTGTATATAAAGACATTAATATTGTAGGTATTTAATTCAAGTGGAGGGATTGAACTAACCACAATGCATTGACATGGTATGTATTTTTTTCATCATTTTTGGCTTTAATATAGTCTTTCTGTCTACAATATTACATATGTTGGGATTAAAAAAATTTACTCTTACTTCATTATTTCATGATTATTTCATTTTTGAGAAATACCTAGAAAGAAAGGTGTGTGTATAGTAGGTGGTGGTGGTGGTGGTGGTGGGGGGGGGGGGGGGTTAAGCTGCCCTTCCTCCTTATATTTTTTTGCTTTTATTCTAAACAAATGAGAAAATATTGTTCTTTTTTAATTGATATTCTAATTTATTTATGTAAGTACAGTTATCAATTCATTTTAAATTACCGTATATACTTAAGAAATATCAATAATTCACTAAAAATGCAATTATACATGTACCATACTTTTAGTAGATACCTGTTCAACCCAGCCTTGCATCTTTATAAAGATTCAATGGTTGACTCAAATTTATAACCCAATCTTAGATTTAAAGACTTCCTATAAACCAGTCCCTATGTTATTATTACCAGTACCTGCATGTTGCAAAAGTTCCTTTTTTTTGACAAAAATCACAAAACACTCGACGAAGAGCTCAACACACAGAACCAAATACTCACTTAATCGTGTAAGCATCTGAAGTGTATGAACTGAACTGCGAAGTTTCATCAGTGCTCGTGTGGTTGAGGATTTTCTCTCCATTGAAGGCAATTTTGCTGCCTTTCTAGGTCCGGTTTGACCACTCTCACGGTCATTTGACCCATCATCTTGCTTTTCTTTTTGACCTTGAGATGTCCTTGGAGATTTTTTGCGTGCTTTACCAACTTCCGCATTTAAGGCACCAGTGGTTTGACTTGTTGGTTTGGATATTTTTGTACTCATTTCGAAGGGATTTTTGTGAATTCAAAGTCTAACCATATTTCACATTCATGCTACATAAGAGAATGAGCAGTTATCTGTCCTCTATTAAGTCACATCCTTTGATCGAAAAAATAAGCAATGGACAAACTATGCCTTGATCTATTTCCACATTTACAAATAAATGTCTCTAAATATTTCTTTCCTGCTGCCGAGTTCCAACTCAAGCATCCCACAATTAAGAAAAAAAAACACAAGCAAAGTGCTTTCTGGCAAAAGCTCCATCTAACTGAATGGATTAAGCAACTCAAACTACAAACTCGTAATTAAGCAATGTGATTCCAGATGATTTAACTGAGAGCTTGGGCAGAAGAATAACCATGCTCAAAACAACCACATCTAATTTAGGGAATGTGTTCTTATTAAGAGATCAGCTGAATTTGGACGGCAATTAAGAATAACGAATCAATATAATTACAGCCTTTGCTCATTAACGAATTTGTAGCACAAAACTGGAAAGACAGAGCTTTTCAAAGAGAAGCTGAAGACCATTAGGTAATGTCAAAGACTTGTGATGATATCAGACATCAGAATCCCAGGGGTTGATTACTTTATCCTGAGGATATTTGTCAGAATCTCTCCAATTAATTAATATATTTCACGTTTAATACGGTTTGATTATTCCACGGGGCATTTTGTATTGACGAAATTTTTTCCTTATACAGTTGAACGAATTGTACAAATTTTAGTAAAAATGTAAGATAATTGATGGGTTATATCCACAGTTTAATCAGGCACGTATAATCCCATGGCAACAAGAACAATCTGTCATTTTTTTGTTATGTTTGTCCTTCCAAGACAATTCTGCAACATTTCATTATTAAGGATAGGCCTGATATATCCATCAAATTGATAATGGAATAATATATGCTATTTCCTTATTTGACAATTATATTCCAATCAAGTTCAATTTCCAAACATTAAAAAATATTCAAATTTCATTCTCTAACCAATGATTTACTTTTGCAAGTCCTCCAGTCTAAAATTCACCTCAGAACAACAGAATTCCATGTGAACTAAAGAAAACTTCCTTTTGAAATTGACTTCCCAAATCCAACCTACAGACTTGATCATCAGTAGAATTCCATATCTCATATCTTTATAAATATTAAGAGTTTTCACTCAACTTCAAATGCACAAAGATGTTCATGAAATTGAATTTATTTAAGAAAGTTCCTCCACAATCACAATAAAGAAATGTATTCACAAAATAAATATCCAGATCTGATTTTTATCGACTTTTTCCATACAGATCAGAATGTCCCCCTTGTCCCTTTGGGTGTCGAGGTATTGTATGTATAGATTATTTTCACTTGAACCTTTATGCATAAATTTCCCTTGCAATCAAATCTTATCACATACATTCATAAATTTAGACAGGTATATTGTATCTCAATTTTTATCAAGAAAAATATTCATCATATGACCCGAATTTGTCCAAATGGAGATTTATACATACAAATAAGTTTTTCAATTCATACAGATTATAATATTAAAGGGTCGCTAACAATGATAACGCAATATCTCTTAAATCGCCAAAAATTAATAAAAAGGGATTTCATGCCCATGATATAGAGTCGCATATCTCTGGACTAAATATTCCTCCATGAAATAAGGTCCACTTCGCACCTCGCCTTTATTACCCTATGATAGAGGCCAATATAGTACTTGATTTTCCTCATTTCAGCTTGCCCTTTCACTCCCTGATTTATGTCAAAAGTCTTTGATAAGGGTCCTCATATCAGTGTTCTAATATAATATATATGCAGTGCCATGATCCTCAAGATGTGCATTACAGTAAAACAAGCTTATAGCTAAATGCCAGCTATGAACAATTTTGATTTGATATAAATGTAATTCGTTATATTCATTTAGTTTACAATACCGGTATGTTTCAAAACCATGGGAAAAGAAAATCACTTTGCTTTAAGTGTAAATTCATTATAAATGTGTTCACTACATGTATAACTGTGTTTTATCGTAGCTTAGTTTTATATCAAGAAATCAACTTTTTCATTCTTACTGCATGTAAAGTTACAACATTATGGTATCATCAATAACTTCAATTTTTAATTTCTTTTTTTTTTTTTAAATTGAGAACTCTTTGGTCTGTGATTTGGAAATGTACATTCTTCAAGAAAATGCTATCCAACCAACAAAACAAAGTGAATGCAAACTCTCACATTATTATAAGTTCATTCCTCTATTGAAAAGCTGTGTTTTCCATGGGGGGTGGGGGTTTGGGGGGGGGGGCTGAGCAATCCAATTTTTGAGTCCAACTGCAACTCAGGGAATTAAAATACCGGGTAATTAAAAACTTAACCTTTGCCAATAGGACATGGGAGGGAGGCAGTTTTCATGACCTAGTTCACTTCCCAGAATGCAAATTTAAAGTAAGATTTGAGGTGTCTCTGGACTGAGTCTATAATTCACCAGCATTAACTGATTCATGGTAAAACTATCAGATTAGAACATAAATATGGACAAACCAGGGCAATTTTTTTTTCTTTGGTGTTTTTTTTTAAATGAAGAATCTGGAAGTCTTTTATTTTATAACTCATTCAACATTCATTTCACATTTTTCACTGCCTAATAAGTTCAATTTAGCAATGTTTTTACCCTGAACTTAAAGAATAATTTGTAAACATGCACATTTTTGCTTTTTTTTTTTTTTAGTATATTACATGTATTACAATCAAGTAAATTAATCTAACTTTCATGTTTGATTTTTCTTTTCTGAAAATCTTTCTACAGCAAACATAGTGCTGCAACATATTTGTAATCAAAGCTCCATTTCAAAATCTTAAGCTTCTGATATAGCAAAATTTTTAGTTGGCCTGACACATGCACATACTAGTACATGTATATTGATGAATAATTGTTATCGAAATTCCCTCAACAGAAAAAAACTTTAAATATTTTCACTATCTACTGTGACTACATTTTATACTTATCAAGATTTATTTTAATAATTACAAGTCATCTTTAGAGAGAGAGAGAGAGAGAGAGAGAGAGAGAGAGAGAGAGATTATATGAATCCACCTTGCATAAAAATTTAAGCATATACATTAAATGTCACATGATTCTTAATCACAAATATTGATCTCTGCATTCTTACAAAGCATCCAGTTGCATGAAGTCAAGCATTTCATGGCTGGCGATATTTATTTGTCAATCATCAAATATTGGATCTGTGAAATGCCTTGCCAACCGATTTAAAGAACCGCCCATCCACTTCAGAACATTGCTCAGTACACAATGTCCCTTTATATATATATCTATAGAATTCAGTGTCAAACAGCACTTAAACCCATGACTGTGTCTTGGAGTTGACATACGAAAGAGGGTAAATATTTTGTTTTTCAAATCTTTTTAAAAATTTTTATTTAAATACGACTACATGTTCAATGAAAGTAACATGCTTGGTCTTAATGTATTTTTCATGCTTTTATTAATAAATGCTCTCTCTCTCTCCATTTTATTATTGTATTCTGAAGAGTTGTTATTAACTTATTTTTACTTAACTGATTTATAATCATTTTACCACAGGACTGGATATTTTCATGCAAATAAATTTTTTTTTTTTAAATTATTCATAAATAGATTCTTGAATTCTTTATATAAGACTATACTAAAAAAATATACAACAATGTTTATAAATCCATCCCAGTCTAAGAAAACAACCAAAACTAATTTTCTCATAAGGCAAAAGATAGTGAAAATGTTTTTAAAATTTGTTTTATATATTTTCAAAGGGCTATACTATTTCTGAATCACCATAAAAAAAAAGGGGGGGGGCTTTGAACAACAGTATTCAATGTTTATGTGTATGTTTTCTACTAGGGGTATTTGTTTCATTGTTTATTCTCACAACCATCAAATAATATATAGTACTGAATTGGTTTGAATGAATATTCTTTAAAAAAAAATCTCAAACATATATTTTAAAGATGAGTTAAATGTAAATTAAAAAAAAAATCACAGTAATATTTTCTGCTGCTTATATTTTGATTTTTTTTTGCTTTTATATTTGACTGTTGTTTTTTTCCCCTATTAATATTATTTACTATTATATATAAGTATATTGCTTAGAAAAGTGCTTCAAATCAGAGAAGTAAAAAATAAGCAGACCTAAAAATAATTTACAATGCATGCTTTGTCCAAGATTGAGAAGATAACCAGAGTTATCCTTCCTGGTTCTTTCAGGATTCAGTTTGTGTTTTTTCTTAGATTTTGTTGAAGTAAGACAATGCACAATTTTCTTTTATTAATACAGAAATTACATTCAATATACTTTATTTAATTATTTTATGTATGAGTGGTTTATATCTAAGCATTTCAGATTCTTTTTCAACAACTTTTTATATTAAGCACTTATATACATGTACCGTCCATTAATTAATCTGAAGAAAATGACTATGATCATAATTATTTTTGTTAAGGTTTTATTATTTTTCTCTAACTTCCACCTTAAAAATGTAACAAAGCACAGCTAATTCATACAACACTTTTAAAATTATTTTCTCTTTATTTTTATATCCATATAGCAAGCAAAGCTCTAAAAATATTTACTGCATGGATACAATGCTGGAATTCTTCATCCCCATCAAATATTAAAACAACATTTCTATTAATTAAACAACTGAACAGTCAGGCATAAATCCCAGATAATTAAGCATTGAATCATTACTTTTTGAAAGATATAGTCTCATAACCGCAACAGTGTGCACAAACAAATTGAGTAACGCGCGTTAGCACATTATGAAAATTTGTTTGCACACACCGTTGCAGTTATGAGACTATATCTTTCAAAAAATAATGATTCAATACTTATATTTACATTTCTACCTCCAAAGTTGCCTTGATGCAAATGTGATTTATATTTCAAAATCCCTGTATTATCCTTTGGGTAAGTTAACAATTAATGGAAGAGTCATTGCAACAGCTTCACAATCTGTTCAAGG